TTTGCCAATTTTGCTGATCTTGTCAAACAATCCATTTCTTGTTTTGTTGGTTTTTTCCTATTGTTTTTGGTTTTCCTGTTCCTTTCTTTCTTCTCTTGTCATGATTTCTTTCCTTCTGTTGTTGGAGCCTTTATGGTGTGGGACTTCACTCATCTTGGTGGGACTTCTCTGGGACTTGCTTGTTACCTTGTGAACATATTGTACATTTGTGTTCTGACTTACTAGTACAGAAGGTTGGATGTTCATAGAACCTCCATCATTTAGAGGTAGTAGTATATATGGGCATAGCCTTATTTTGAGATAGGTGTTAAGGCACAAATAAGCTGCACAAGTAAGTGGTTCAAATTTTCTTTTCTCAAACGTCTGCTTTGTTGCTTTCAATCTTTCAACCTACAAGTGGGTATTCCAAAAAAAAAAAAAAAAAGTCAGGAAAATCTCTGCTGGGCGCAGCATTCATAGTATGCATTTTTCCATCTAGGCGAGCATCCAGCAACTCACTCTGAGCTAGCACACACAGTGAAATCACCTGGGAAGATTCTCTCTGGTTACAGTGAATTTTTTCATAAAAGCAGTGTTCAAACCCAGTTTTTTGTGATGGCCGATTTGAGAGAAAAGACTGTGCCTGTAAAATTTTGATTCCTGCTTGGAATCAAACTTTTGTGATGTTGAACACAGCTTACAAGGATGGCGCTATGGGAAAACTCAAGTGCATGAGTGTTTTTCTCATTTCGAAAAGGTAAAATGTTGATTGATGACAGTCCTCATTCTGGACTCCATCAACTTCCCAATGTTGATGAAAATGTGACAAAATTTGTGCACTTGTGCTCAAAGACCACCAAGAGACCACTGAAAAGATGAAGGAGTTGTCTGGACTAGTTGGAGCTCTGTTCAATGAATTTTAACAGAAGATTTGGGGATGAGAAGGGTCACTGCAAAATTTGTCCCTTGGCTTCTGGCTGATCAGGAGAAGGACCATTGAGTGGAAACATGCCTCGCTTAGAAAGAACAGCTCTGAGCGACTCGAACTTTTCTCCTAAGGTCTTTACTGGGGGCAAGACACGGTGCTAATCTTATGACCCTGAAAGGAAACATCAATAAGCAGTGGAAGACGCCATATCCACTTTGCCCCACAAAAGCCTGTCAAGTGAAATCTAAGATCAAACAATGCTAATTTTGTTGTTGTTGTGAAGGGGATAGTGCATTTGGAATCTGTCCCACCAGGCCAGACTGTTAATCAACCTTTCTATTTAGAGGGTCTGAAAAGATGGTGTAACAGTATGTGACAGAAAAGGCCTGATTTGTGGCAGACAGGGTACTGGTTTTGCCACCACGACAACACACCTAATCATGCAGCCATCTCATTGCTCCAGTTGGGCAGAAAACAACATGCCTCTTTTGCTCTGACCTTGCTCCATGTGTTTTTTGTTGTTGTTGTTCCTGCTAATGAAGGGAGACATGAAAGCACAGTGATTTGACAACACATAAGAGGTGAAGAACAAAATGAGGGAGGTGCATCTGTCATCCAAACAGATGAGTTAGAAAAACTGTTTCCAAGAATGGAATCACAGAGTTGAGAAATGTAAGTGTATGGAGAGTACTTTGAAGTTGATAAGGTTGTTTTGGTAAAAAAATTTTTTTAAGGAATACATAGCTTTGAAAAAAATGTTCCTTTTTTTGTGGGGTGGGGGGGGTACCCCCTCATGTGCTCTTAGTAAAATAGATTAATTCCTATGGCCAGTTGACTAATTGCTTTTAAAAGATCAGTCCTTGTTTAAAGATTGTATAGATGAAACAAGAAACTGCTGAAAGTATGCAGCTCTAGAGACAGTCCTGAAGGGATGCAGGAAAGAGAACTTTTTACCAGAAAAGATTTGGTCCATATACCTGGTTGGTCACTTTTCCTGAAGTATCTCAATGGAAAAGAAAGCAGAAAATATTAAAAACTAGAACAACTTTAAAATGAGTCGAACGGGAGATCAAACGATAAGATGTTAAACTTTAACTTTACCCTATCTGCACAATATACTTTCTAATGTACTCTGCATGATAGCAAGACTATTCACATCTCTGGTCTATGGTCAGAGGGGACTCATCCCTGTGTATTTTCCCTCCTCTTTTTCTTTTAAAATTGAAACAACTTTTAAATGAGTCAAAAGGGAGCACGAACCATAAGATATTACATTTTACCCTAACTACGTCTACCATAATCAACTTTACAATGCTCACTGTCTGATTACAGGGCTATTCACACCCCTCAAGTATGAACAGAGGGGATTCCCTGGAGGCTTCAGCCATGTAAGGACCCTGAACATGGATTTTGGGCTTCCACTGTCATGCATAGTCTTCTGTAAACCAGGTGCTCATAGTTTGGGCTCTGATGCCAATCCTAGAGGATATATTTTCAATCATATCCCAGCTTAAACAGAAGATTGTTGGTGATTTTATTTTATGTTTCTAGATCTTTGTCTATTGCTATACAAATTTAGAATATGCCTACTGTGGTTTCGTACACTCCTTGGTCTGTTTCTTCTTCAGCTTCCTTTCTTTTGTGCGTGATTTAATTTGAGCCTACTTACACTCCACTCTTCATCATCTCAGGCCCCAAACGCATACGCAGACCTTGTAGACAGGTGATTGCAGACAAACACTTCAGATCATTAAGCCTCCAAATGGGCTGGTCCAAGTCTCTGTTCTGTTCTGGGCCCCTATCCAGATGTCCACTTCCCTAGATCCTTCCACTTCCAACCCCCCAGCCCCAGCTCGAACTGTTCAACACGTATTTTAGTAGATAAGCATGATCTATTTTATTATATTTATCACCCTGTTAAATTATTTTTTCAACTCTAATGAATGCTCTTATAAATATTAGAGGATAAAAGTGATTTTGAGTTACTGAAGAAAGTCAATTTAGATCATATGTCGAGTTTTAATGATTTTCATTGGCTTTCTGAAGTAATGCATTTTACCTTTGTAATCTAATTAGGGTATAAAGTCTATTGTTTTTATGAACTGTAAGCATATCCAAAGTAAATCAAGCACAGGGGGAAAATAAACAGTCCTTACGATAATTTGACACACCAACCAACTGATAACTGGACCCGAAGGCGGATATTCTTCAGAAGTTTCTAATTAAAGTAGAACAGTGATGACTGATTAAAACTGGAAATGCTGAGGTAAAGTTGGATTTAGAAGATTGTATCTGGAAGTACTGTGGTGAGCGTGATCTCCAGAGCTATGAATTGGGACATGATATAAGGAATATGGATTTTTTTTTCAAAATTGGAAAACATCATGGATAGAAGTTTGCTGAGAGCATGCAGTAAGTAAAATTACTTTGGATAGGTGGTAGGTTCTGAAAAGTATCTCATTTCCATTACAAGGGTATAAAACTTGTATATTTTTCCCCCTAGATAATTAAGACTTATTAGAAGGACCGAACCTTTCTTTTTTTAGAAAACATTTTTAAAATTGTGAAATAGGTGGTGATTTACCTAGCAGATAATCATTGTTGCATTCAATAACTGAAACAACTTATAAAATCTTCCAATGGCTTGCTCTGTGAAAAAGAAGTTCTTTAGATCATTTGTGGGATCATCAGATGAAGAGGTGAGGTGTAAAGGGACTGATGAGACTATTTTACGATGATACAGTAGATGAGAAAAGTTAGATGAGAGTGGTGACAGAATAGAAGGAAATTAGGGATAAATGCAGAGACAATATTAATGTGAAATATTTAGAAGTCTGAGATAAATATAAATAGGAGATTAATATGTCATGAATTATGCAGGAAATCACAAATCATGACATTTTTGGAGATGTAGGTTTTTTTCAGGATATTGATTGCTTAACCCTGCCTGTACTATATCCTCTTGGTTTGGTACACAAGGTGTGTATATATATTTTTACCGTCGTTGGTAAATTTGATCTTCATGAATTAAAGATATTATAAAATCAGGATTAATGGTCACACAGTGCTCATTATCTTTGATGTCAAGTTCACATTTATTGGGATTTCATAGTTCTGTGTTTTACCTCTTACTTTTTTTTCTTTCTTTGAATGTCATGATTCAGGGAAAGGAAAAATAAATTCATATTATGTATACCACTACATTGTGATAACTAGAGTAGATAGCTAACTTTCTTGAGATTATTAAATGTCTTAATTTGTCCCATGGTATTCTTAGACACCAACACCATTACCTAATATGGTGACAAGAACCGGCTATTTGAATATCTAAATATACCCGACATTATTGATCATTATCTTAAATTCTTGTTACTCAAATTGTGGCTATCAGAGCAGTTGCAACAACATATCCAGAAGCTTATTAACAAAGCAGAGTACGAAGTCTTACCCCACACCCACTGAATAGAAATTTATATTTTTAGACAATTTGCTGTTTATTTTAAAATAAAATACTTAAAACACTGATCTAAATGTTCTGTTCAGTGTCTTTTGCACTAGTGGGACCATGAAGTTCTAGGTACAACAAACATTGAAACACAGGAACAGACTGACTCCAGGCATTCACATTTAAGACAAATGGGTGTAGACTACGACAAAATATTTAAGTATACAGATGTATGGACATCTATAGGGTTTGAAGAGAAGGATTAGGAGAGACTGACAAAATAAGAATCATTCCCTTTGATTTATTCTACTCTATAAGGAAAAAAGACTGTAAATGAATGAATAGACAGAAATAAAATTCAAATTTTTCTTGGTTCCTTTTTGTTGTGTGTTTCCATCATGAGGATAATGAGGTCTTGTGTGGACTTTCTAGAAATCTATTTTCATATCCACTTAAAATGAGCCATTTGAAAAAAACTTTACCTGAAATAAGACAGTAACCTTTATGTCACTCTGTGCTTTTAAGAGTAATAGAAAAATAGAGGTTAATGGAACTTTAATTTATATTTGAGTTAGAACATATAATAAATGAAGAAACAATTCTTTATGTATATATTATGTATAATATATGTATTAATTTTAAAGTCTTCTAATGCTCTGAGAAAAATGTCATCTTTTTAATTGAGTCCTTAAAGGCCTGTTTGACTTGCTTATTTCGTAGTGTGTAAATGAACGGGTTCATCAAAGGGATAAATGAAGTGTTGAGCAATGACACCACCTTATTAAGTGCCACTCCTTCCTTTGCTGGCTTGATATAGATGAAGATGCAGCTCCCATAGGTGATGGAAACGACAATCGCATGGGAAGAACAAGTAGAGAAAGCCTTTTTTCTTTGTTGAGCAGAAGGAAGTCTTAAAATAGTCTTGATGATGTATGTGTAGGACATAATTACACACACCAGTGTGAATATGAGGGTCAGCACAGCCATGGTTAAAACAACTTGTTCTACAAATTGCGTGTCTGAGCACACAATCTTCAGAAGAGGGGATGCATCACAGCCAAAATGGTCAACGATATTGGAATTACAGAAATCTAGCTGAATTCCTAGGCTAATTGGTGGGAAAATGACAATTAACCCAGCCAACCAACAGGAAAGGACCAGTATAGTGCACACCCTGTCATTCATAATAGTGGTGTAGTGTAGGGGTTTGCAAATGGCCACATAGCGATCATAGGACATGGCGGTTAGAAGAAAGAATTCCGTTGCTCCGATGAGGATGACAAAAAATAATTGAATGACACAAGCATTATAGGTCACAGTTTTGTCTCCAGTTGTCAGGCTGTACAGGAATCTAGGAACACAGACAGTTGTAAATAATATTTCTAAGATGGAAAAGTTCCGAAGGAAAAAGTACATGGGGGTTTTAAGGTGAGGATCCATTAATGTGAGAAGGATAATGGTTAGATTTCCAGCAACAGTAAATACGTAGGTGAGAAACAGAAATACCGTAAGAAAAACCTGTAGCTGTGGATCATCTGTTAGTCCCAGCAGGATGAATGTTATTGCAGAATTATTTCTCATCCGTGATTTTGATATAATGAGTCTGTTCTTTAACTCATCAACTTTGTAGCTGAGGAATAGAGGATAGAAAAAATATTTTAATGTTATACGGAGAAAATTCAATCAGGATATAAGTACATTTTTACTTGATTATTCGCAATGTTGATATGGAAATCATTGAGCCCCACTTCATTTCCCTCCACTCTACTCTACTCTGCTCTTCGGAATGGCCTTCATGAAAAGTATCCATCTGAAGTTCGCGTTCATCCCTAGTTACAGGACCAATCTGTAAGTAGAAACATAAGAAAAAGCCTCACAGGCACTGAGAATAAGGGAGTCATCACGGAATCCCTAAAGGGGCTCCATAAATGTTGGTAAAAAATGAAGAAATTCTGTATAAATATTTCAAGTAGACATTTGTAAGGACAGTGCATCAAGTTATTCTCATAAACTATGATAATGTAATGCCACCCTTTCCTTGGCAGTAGTATTTTCCATGTTTTGCAATCCTTACTCCCTCAAACCCTTATTTCCTGCTTAACCTAATCTGTATCCTAGTAACCTGTGCTGTTTGCCTGACCTGTGCCAGCATTCCAGAATTACCATGAGATCCTCTGAGCCACGACTCTTACAGAATTTCTTATTTATGGTTCCTTTACAATAATATGTTGAAATATTCAGTTCTGTGTTCCTCCTATGCCTCTGCTTTGTTTCTGCTTCTGAATTCCTGTTTCAATATCCATCTGATGCCTGATATCCCATGAAGCCCATGTTTTTCCAGTGAATGGGATGTTCTATGACTTTTCAGAGAAAGCAAAATCCTGATTTGGACTTCTATGATTCTTGTTGGGGACTTGTAATTTATACTTATTAATGTTCACAATGCCTTCTGAGGTTACCTGAAAGCCCCCTTCCTAACATGAAATCTGTATCCTTAAGTAGGAAAAAGCAGGGAGAATTTCATTTGGGAAAAAATATCTTCGCCATGAATCCTTTCTTTAAAGGTTCACCTTGCCCTTAGAATTGTTACTACTCTTTGTACATTCAGGACATTTCTCTGTTCTTCAGCATTCTGGAAGAAGGCTAGACTCTGATTCTGTATTTATTACGCCCACATAAATGTTATTATTAGGCATTAATATTTAGCAAAATTAAGATCATTATCAGGCTCCTGGGTGGTACGAATGGTTTACATTTCATCGCTAACCAAAAGTTGGATGATTTGACCAACCCAGCAAAAGTGAATAGTGAAGACTAGAGAATTGGCACATTTGAATCGCGGTGCTGGGGAAGAATACTGAAAGAAGGCTGGACGGCCAGAAGAAGGAACAACGCTGTCTTGCAGGAAGCACAGCTAGAATGTTACTAGAATCAAGGATAATGGGAGTTCATATCATGTCTTTGGAAAATGTTATCAGGTGGGATCAGTCCCTGTAGAAAGACATCATACTTGGTAAAGTATGCTGCATTGGTATGTATGTAGCATAATTGTTTTACTTTTATAATCACATCACCAGCAGTGTAAATTTATTAATAACTTATTGTATGTATTTATCTAAAATTATACATATTTAATAATGTATGCTTTACAAAATAAATATATGGTAAACAACATTTTATATGGACTTCTCTTACTTTACACTTCATTTTAATTACTTTTACCGTGTTCCTCACCCCACAAAATATTCGTCAAAAACACAATTTTATTTGCTCATTCATTCTCATTACATACAAGGAGAGAATAAAACTTAGCATTCTAATATTCAGCTTTTAAGTTTCTTCCATTCTTCCATAATAATTTTTCAGTGAACACCTTTGCATTTAAATCTATTTACACTTCAGATTAATTCCACATTGAGAACAAATCCAAAAGAAATATAGATGCAAAAGACTTTTGGTAATTATTGTCAAATTAATCTTTTAGGAAATATTTAGTAATGCATACTTTCATATCTCAATAAATCTGTTTCTTTAAAATCTTTAGGAATTGATTATTTTTGAATATTATTTAATATATATATTTACTAAATGGTATTCCCAATTAATATCTAATTGTTTCTTTTAGACTTTTATCATAAGTAAGATACATTTCATTCTAATATTTATTGCCTGTTTTTAAATAGCATATTTTACTAAAATCATCACCATCATTACATCATTATATTTCCCTGGTCATACAATGTTTTTAATTCATAACAAACATGTCCTATTTAAACATGTGAGTTATTTGACTAAACCAATCAGTACAAGGATAATCAACTCCAGAGGCTCCAGATCTAACAATGTAATCTAACCTAATTAGGGTGACTTTTGTTCATATGAATTGTTTTAGGGGCAAGGAAACTTAGGGAGGAGCTGAAAATAGTATGGAAAGTCTCAGTATAAGTTAATTTTTTATCAATGTGCTTACACTATCAAATACCACTTTGTTGTCATTTCTAACTCTTCTTTTTAGAATTTTGTGAATAAGTGAGAAATATTCTTTTCCAGCTGTGTACATAGTGGTCTTTCAAATGCTACATTATGTAGAACAAAGTGAAAATTCAAAGATTAATTTTCAAAATCTCCCTAAGCGTGAAGGAGTGTCTTGGATCCAGACTTTGTAGCAGAGAGATTCTTGCTAGCTGCCTTTCCCTAGAGGCTGCTTTTATACGACTTCCGTCATTTCAGCTCCAAAACCCAGGCACAGGGTAGTGCAAGCTTTTTAAAATTTCACTTTTAAACAGTTTTATTGTTTTATGACTCAGATATAATGCAATTCAAATGTTCAATGATATCAAGAAGAGTTGTGCAATCATCACCACAATCAGTTTTAGAATGTGTTCCTCATTCTTTTGCTCATCTTTATTATTTTTTAAACAGTTTTATTGGCACTTCATAATTCAATAATTCCATCTTATCAAGAAGCATTGTACAGTCATCACCACAATCAAATTCAGAGCATTTTCTTCTTCTGTGTACCCATTGTGATGCATATAATTAGAAAATTGTAGTAAAATATACACAACAAAAAAATTCTCTAATTCAACATGTATAATTCAGCGCCATTGATTATACTCTTCATGTTGTGCAACCATTACTGATATCCTTTTCCAAATAATTCCACCACCATGAACATAAGCTAAATGCCCCTGAGCAAAAAATCTTGTTCCTTTACCCATAGTAACCATAGGTCACTTGTTTTGTTTTCTATTTTAAAGAATTTTTCTTCATATAATATTCAAATGTTATACCCCAGTTTTTATACTTACTTTCTGGTGGTTATTCATAATGTTTTAGGTTGTTTAACCCAAAGTTCTTCCTTGGGCATGGGACACATTGGGTGCCAGTAGTGGTCTTTAAGTTTGGCTTAATTTAAACCTCTTGTGTTCTTCCTGGTATAAATACCTGCAAATGAAAGGTGATATACCAGGTCACTGCAGTCCAAATGGCACAGAGAATAGCACCGCCCTGTTCTTATTCTCACCAGGCCTAAACTTGAGTCTGCTTGCTATCTCGTCAATGTAGAAAATGCTGTTTCTCTATATTCTGTGGCTCGAAAAATAAACACCAATGATGATTGTCTGATATTTCTCAGAAAAGAATTATATTACATTTTAATTGATAGAGATGGCGTGTGTTTTTTTAGTTTTATCTGCTCAACTACCCAGGGAACATTTGAATGAATAAACAAAAATGTCCTTGGTGACCGTATTCAACCACTAATGAAGTGGAATTAACGTTGGAACTAAATAAATAAATAATAAAAGAAAGATAAAATGTTTAAGCCGTACCTTTGGGGAGATGTGTCCACAGAGACAAGAAATGCAACAGTGATCACATCAGTTCTACGACAGAAAAGGGGAGAACATCAAGTCACAATCTGATTCTTATTACCTTACAATGTCTACTGCTTTCTTAGTTTGAATTTAGGAGAAAACTAATTTAGGCTGTGCTGGTTGTCTTACAGGGCATATTTATATTTCCAGTCAAGGCAGTTGATCTTACTACTTTTTTTTCTATCGATCATATGGATCATTTACTGGACCTATGAAGTTAGAACAAATTAGAATTCATGTATTAGTTAATTATTGTTATGTCTTGCTCAAAATATGCATGGATCTTACTATCCTTGAAGACAAGATATGACTTTCTCATAGGGTTTCTTAGGCTAGGGTCTTTAGGAAAGTAGATAGTGGGTCTTCTCTCCATGGGAAATTGGTGGTGGGACTGAACTGTCGACCATTTGTTTAGCAGAGCAGTGCTTCAACCACCCAGTCATCAGGGCTACTCATAGGACCCATTAAACCACAATGTCGAGAAAATTAGGGGATCATGAGGTAAAGTATTAGGGGAGTAAATTCAGTAAATGTAAGAAATCTGAACTAACCTGAGATTAACACTCCATTAACACTCAATATGTTTAAAAAATAAAAATAAATTAAATTTAGTGCAGACTACAACAAAAACTCCAAAGGGTGGCTTGATAAAGCAAGATAAAGTATAATAATAAATGTTCTAAGATTGGAAGTAGATTGGAAAATTACAAAAAGAAGAACATGATCAACATTTTTGAAACTAAATGAACTTAAGTGAAAATTTAAAACTTAAGTTACAATATTGAAAGAGTCTATGGTTAAAAAAAAAAAAAGAGCCGTGGTGTCACTGCATTGTGCTGTTCAGGTCCACAAGCTGATCCTCAGGAGAGAGTGTGGCTGCCTCCTCCTGTATAGATTTATGGCCTCCAAAACCTTGTCTAAAGTCACAATGAGTCAGAATCAATTGAATGGAAAATATTCTCTCTACATTAGGCAGTGTGAAGATATTTGTCTCTTACACCCCTGTAGGCATGCTGGGTAATTTAACATATTTTATTTCATCTTGTATTCTCCAGATTACATTTTAAGCTCCAGATTACAAATGAATAAATAATTCAGACTATTCAAATGGTTTTATAATTATATAGATTATCACCTTAAAAGTATTTTCATTGTTTTATAGTCATATTAAAACAAAAAAACAAACAGAAAGAACGAGTATATTCTCTTTAACATCGTTTTGCCAAATCTTTCTGATTTGTAGACTCAAATATTCCTTTAAGTGAAAATAATGTTGCATTATTTCTTTTTAAATTACCTTTTACTATTATAGCCCTGCTGTTTATTTCTGTAAATGGAGATCATAACCATCGAGGAAAGGACTAGGAGGCAAAGCGCATACATAGAGGCCTAAATACAGACATGTACATATGTAAATATATTTATGATTAAAAGGGAAATAGATCTATGTGCACATATTTATAGGTTTAGCAGTAGGGTAGCAGGTGGACATTGTGCCTCCTCGGGTGCATTCCCTTAATACAAGAGCACTTTGCTCACCTAAACGGTCATTCCATGATACCCACCTTCCCGACATGATCACTGAAGACAAACGTGTGCATAGGCAAACAGGGTGAAGAAAGCTGATGGTGCCCGGCTATCAAAAAATATAGCATCTGGTGTTTTAAAGGCATGAAGGCAAACAAGCAGCCATCTAGCTCGGAAGCAACAAAGCCCACAGGGAAGAAGCACACAAGCCTGGGAGATCACGAGGTGTTGAAGGGATCAGGTAGCAGACACCAAAGAACAAAAAAACATCATTTTGTGATCACCTTAGCCATATAAATGCAGAAGACAAATGTGTGCATAAGTAAGTGTGGTGAAGAAGGCTGATGGTGCCTGGCTATCGAGACATACAGTGTTTGTGGTCTTAAGGCTTGAAAGTAAACAAGTGATCATCTAGCCCCAAATAAACAAAGCCCACATGGAAGAAGCACACCAGCGTGTGTGATCATGAAGGGTCTATGGAACCATGTATCAAGCACTAGAGTGTGTGTGTGTGTGTGTGTGTGGGGGGGCAGAATCAGATCATTATGAATGAGGGAAACACATGATGGGGATCCAATGCCCATCTGCAGACAACTGGACATCCCTTGCAGAGGGGTAGTTGGGAGGAGATGAGTCAGTCAGAGTGCAGTGAAGCATTGATGAAACTCACAACCTTCCTCTAGTTCTTAAATGCTTCTCTCCTCGCCTCACCCCCCCCCCCCCCCCCCCCCCCCCCCCGCCACACACACACACACACACTATCATGAGCCCAATTCTACCTTGCAAACCTGGTTAGACTAGAGGATGCATAGCGGTGCAGATGGGAACTGGAAACACAGGGAATCCAGGAGAGAGGAATCCCTCAGGGCCAGTGATGAGAGTGGCAATACAGGGAGGGAAGAGTGAAGGGGGTGTAGAAAGAGGGAACCGATTACAAGGATCTACATATAACCTCCTCCCTGGGAGATGGGCAACAGAAAAGTGGGTGAAGGGAGATGCTAGGCAGTGTAAGATATGATAAAATAATAATTTATAAATTAAGCATTCATGGGGGAGGGGGGGGGAAATGAGTTGATTCCAGGAGCCCAAGTCAAAAGTGAGAGTTTTGAGAATGATGAGGGCAACAAAAGTATAAGTGTGCCTTACACAATTGATATATGTGTGAATTGTGATAAGAGTTCTATGAGCCCCAATAAAATTATTTTAAAAAATTAATAAATTGCATTTGAAAATAACAGTATAAAACAGTATAAAAAATCATGGTAACATGATTTAGTTAGTTCAAAATATTAAGTCAATTTATACAAAATTAAAAACTAAAGCTACACAATATATTTAAAAAATTTTGTTCTGTATAAACACAACTGTCAAATAAGCATTTAGCCACACACATAATTTCATTTAGCAAAAGTTTCCTTAAAGTCTTGAGGGAATGCCCTCTTTGTACAGACTTTATATACTGTTGTAGTCTGTCACTGGCTTGACTAATGTAGAACATTACCAATGATTTTTTCCTACACGATCTATACTTTTAATATTCATGTATTGCCATTGAGGCAATTCTAACTCATAGTGATACTGTAGGAGAGAGTAAAATTGCCCTTGAGTTTCTGAGACTTTAAATCTTTACAGCCTTATCTTTCTTGCTCAGAGTTGCTGGTCAGTTTGTGTCATACAATATTGCCAAATTGACAACATATTTTAGGGGAGCACCATTCAATCTATAACAACTTTTTAAAGATCTAAAATTAGCAATGATCTATTAAAGCATGAAATATACAACCTATTTCTTCATATAAGATATTCTTGATTTTTTTCTAATTCAATTCTCATTTTTAAAGAATACTAGCAAGCGCTTCATCAGTATGAATAATTGATCTAATGCCAAGTATAGCCCAAGTTACTCTACTTATTGCCATTAACCTACAGTACTTAATATTCTCCCTATTGAATTTTTTATCAGTTTTATTGACATATAATTTGTGTATCTTAGAGTTAAGTAATTTAATTATATTAAAAAGTAATTTACAATCATTACCTCAATCAATTTTAGAACTTTTTCTTCATTCATGTACTTGTTATTAACTGCTCATTCTCACTGATCCCAACCTCCTCTGCTAATAACCCTAATAAACTATTAATCTAGCTATTTATTATACAGATTTATCAATTTTGGATATTTTATAAAGAAAATCATGTAAAGAACACCCCCACACTCACCAAAACTACAACAAAATAATATAGTGTGAAACTTCTATCTGAAAGAAAGCAGAAAATAACATAAAGTAGAAAAAATTAAGAATGGGTCAAAGGGTAAACAAATGATAAGATATTAATTTTTTAAAACATTTTATTAGGGGCTCATACAACTGTTATCGCAATCCATACACAAATCAATTGTGTAAAGCGCATTTGTACATCATTCTCA